AAGCTTACTGGGCAACCTCTGGGCCAGTCACTGCGTGTCAGCCTAACCTGCCTCACTGGGTTGCTACAAGGATAAAATGAGCATTGAAGAGCCATGTATACTGTTTTGAGCTCCTTGGGGAAAGAGCGGGATAAGAATGTACTGTATAGATGTGCTGTGCCTATAAAGCCACACCCCCTTCCTATCCAGCCTTCCCGTTCATCGAAATGTCTATGTCTTGGAGAACACGGGATGAAGAGAATTGGACAGGAATATTTTTGTTTCTTAGCCCTGCTGCTTATTAAGGGAAGATGGATTGATCTTGCTACCCAAATGCCACAGACATGAGGGACCACTTGCAGAGCATGGCGGCAATTTCAACTGGTCCATGTGGTGACAGTTTCTGTATGATGAATCCTGTGTGTCTAGCAGGCCACTATACCAAGTAAGGGATCTGCTGCACACCACTGCAGGCTTCTCCTTGGGGCTGCTGGCAGTGGCTGAATGAAGACTTCCTGGCCCACACAACATATTACTACACCTGAATTGCTCATCACAGAGCATCTGCCATCACATGGAGTGATTTTCAATGGTTTGCACATGGCGGCCATGACACATGACCATTTCTTATGGCGAGGCAACCAAATGAAGCAGCTGCCAGAGCTAATGGCGAACTCTCCAGCATACCTGTGACATCTGTAAAGAATCCAGATTGACACTCCCAGCCACTACACCAACCCAACGTCCAGGAAGTGGTAAGCTGCCATCTTAACTCATGCCACAGGGACCCTGGAGCATTCATAGGAAGTGTCACCAACCCAAGAGGAGCCAGCTCGCAATGGCCTCTCTGTAGCTGCCTTGAGCCCAGAGGAAAGACGGGTTATAAATATCTTAATAAATTAGCAAACAAAATGACTGAATGCCTAGGCCATAATTGTTTCTTTTGCTCAACTCTTTCCTTTCCCTGCTGGCATCCCTTCTGTGGCCCTTTTTTCCGCCCACCATCAGGGTGGCATCCTTTCACCAGGTATTGTCCACACAGTTTGAAGCCTACCTTTGCAGAGCTAGAAACCTGTTTTTTAAAAAAGAAACAGGTTTTTTTTAATGTACCTGGAATGCTGAATTCTGTAGCCAGAATCAAATTCTACATCTTTGCATGCATTTCTAAAGAACCTTTGAATATGCACTGCCCTGCACACATTGTTTGATAACACTGGATAATCAATTATAAGAGCTCAAGTAATATAGAGATCTGTCATTCCATGCACACATGCACAACCCCGGGTCTATAAATTCTCTTCAAACATCAAGACACTCCCACCCAAAGTCTCCTTAGGGTTTTATTGGTCAATTTATCTGCAAGCATAAGACCTCCAAAACTGAAATGCTTTAGGAATTAACCAGGGATTAAAGAGCTAAATATAGAAATAGAAGAGAATTATATAATAGGTAAATTATGTATTTTCTCTCAACTAGTTGCTCTACTTAACTCCTTGCTAGTTGAACACTCCAGGTTTTCAAGGGAACAGTCTGACTGGGTAATTTGGGTAATATCTATTCCCACACACAAGGGTGTTCTTTACTTGTGGGGCAGAGGAGAGCAGTTAGTGTTAAACATTGTGCTTCCCTCCCCACACACACACTGTACATCAAAAACAGGTAAATCTCTTTGAGTATAGTTTTCCCAGTCTTTGGGTTGGTGGAGGAATAGTCTGTTTGGTGGGGAAACGTGGAGGTGGCAAGGGACTGTGTAGAATGGAACAGAAGAAATACTTTTGAGGACGATTGTGGGCGAGTTTCCTCCTGGGCAGAGGTTTTACTCAGGAGGGATGTGGCTGACAATTTCAGGCCAAACACAGTAGATTCTGTTGTCCAAGACACCACCACCCCCTCCACAAGCAGCGCCAGCAGGAAAGGAAAGTAGTTCCTTTCCTGCCTACTCACACATCTCTGCAGAGAAATAACTGGAGCACCAAAACCTCCGTCAACCTTGGGAGTGACAATATGGAGCGTGAGAACCGCCTTCCACAAAGATTCGAGCACGTGTCCTGAACAACAACCACACACCAAGGCTCAAACCCATTTCCCAACTCAGGTCTCGACACCCAAAAAAACTAGTACACCAAAGACACTGCCTTTGGGTGTAGGCAGAGCGCTGTTGCTTCACCAAGAGTAACAACAACCAACCACCCCATATCTGAAGCATAGCCTCCTAAGCAAAAGAAGGCAGAGGTTTCTCCCTTTTCGCTCTCTTGCAAGTTTAAGTTGTAAGGCCTCTGGGACAGAGCTCGGCCTTTTTTTCTTGGCCTTGTCTTTCGGGGATGCACCACGTGCCTTGGAGCTACTGTATGAAGAAAGACTCTCAAGCAGGCTTTAATCCCTGGCACTTCTTGCTTGAGAAATTCACAAGGGCCTTGGCATTAGGAAGGGAGGAACAAAAAGAGAGAAGAGCCTAAACCCAATTATGCCAGGAACTGCAGGTGGGCAAGCATAAGTGCACCATCCCATCCACCTATCCTATCCCACAGTACCACACACTCACTGAAGCAGACAGCACATCTAACAGACATGCCAAAGAAGGCATTAATCAACAAAAACATAGAGGGGGTTCAGTTCAAAGGTCATGCCCAACCCCTCCTGCTAGAAGGGAGGCTCCTCTGCGCAGCATCTTTGGGGAAAAAAGAATGAAAAGACTCTGGCTTTATACTGGCAGAGAAAAGGGGAAGTCGCCCCTGAGAGCCTTTGCAAATTGCAGAGATAGGAAACACAGAGAGCAGATGATGCTAGATGGCAACAGAGACTCCCCTGCAACCTATTAATCTCCTGTTACAAACGCCAAGATCTTTTGCAGAAGCTGTGCCATCTCTCCTCCCCATCTCCCTTCCTGGCTTCAGCAGGTTGGGGGGAGAATAACGGGGTGGGGGAGAGAGGCTTTTAAATGTATTATTCCAGGAAGAAGGAGAAGCAGCCCGAAAAGAAAGCACAAGCCAGTTTCTTGCAGGGGGAGTTGCCAGCCGCCTCCTCTACCCTTGGGAGAAGGAATACCCTCCCCTAATCTCCCTGGTTACAGAATCTCTCTCCCCCCCCCACCTGCCCTTACATCTCATTCCCCTTTAGTAAACCCATAACAAAAGCATGCTGCACAGCCTGGGAATAGAAGAGTAAGTAGCAGTCAGAGGCCACCCAAACAAATCCACCTCCCACCCACCCCCCGCAGTCTCCAGTGGAGGGGGTCCCAGCAACTGGGGTGGCAAGTTAATTTAGAAGGGGTCAAACGACACCAAAAGGAGAGGGAAGAGCGATCCTAATAATTAATCAGCTAAACACGGCGGTGGTGGCAGCAGCAGCCACCGCCACCATCTCCTCCTCCGGGTTAACAAGGGAGACAGCTGTAGGAGCCCAGTCAACAACAAGCTGCTTGTTTACCCCGCAAAGTGGCTCCTTCCACCTTGCCTCTTAATCATAGGGTGAGAAATCAAAATACTTAAAAAAAAAAAAGTGAGTCAGCAGGGGTGGATTTTTAAAAAAAACAGAAAAGGAGCTCACCAGCAGGCGAGGAAGGCACTGCAAGAGTTTGGATCAATTCATATTTAAACGGTAGAAAAAAGCTTTTGCGTCATACAGAAGTCTTCAGCAGGCTACATGTTTATAACACACACCTCCTCCCAAAATCCAACATTATTCTGCTTGCTCAGTTTCCTCCACACTGGAGCTTGATGTGAGTTTTTAAGAGGTCTGTGCCCCAAAGAGCTTACAGTCTGAATCTTGGGAAGGGTGACAGCAGAAGGAGGAAGGGAAGAGACAGACAGACAATCAAGAGTGAACCCCCCCCCACAGGTCTTTTTTACACATTACATGCTAACACTACTAAAGGGGGGGGCAGTGAATGAATAAACACTTTCTAGGTGCCCACCTATCAGCAGTTTCTTTAGCCCCCCCCCCATGCCCGTCTGTTTGATCTAAGTTTAAAGAAAAGCCCCCCCTCTAGTAATTAGGCTAAAACAAGCCTCTGTTTACCCAGGGATACCACAGCAGCGCCTAGAACTGAGCGTATTGGCAGTTTTCTAATCCTATTAAGTCTTCTGTACAGTCAGCATTTAATCTGGGATATTAAAAAAAAAAAATCAGACACCAGCGACTTCCTTTCCAGACTTGATTTCGAGACACATTTTTGAACGATGCCGAAACGGCGACCCTCATGCGTATCCCCACCCCCCAATAAAAGCATCGTTTTGTGTTTATCATCATGGCTTTGTGCCAGTGAGCCAGGGGCGATCGTGGTGGCGGGGGGGGGGGGTTGGCGGAGTGTCTTCATTGGCGCACTGCTTGCCTCGCCAGGGCGGCCGGCGGAGGAGATGTGCAGGTCGAGTTGTGTTTGCCGAAGGAACAAAACTATTCCGGGACACGAGAGGCAGTCTCGGATTGTGGCAGGCGAGCACACAGAAGGGGGATGAAGCCCGTGCGCGTCTCCCCCCCCCGGCAGCTGCCTCTCAGCCAGACACCCAGCAAAAAAGAAGGGGGGGGGATACACTTTTGTCTGTATTCCTTGAAACCGATCTTGTTCCACAAGCACGCCAGCTTGTCCTACACACTCTCTCTCTCCTTTCTAACAAGCCACACGATGGCAAGAAATCACCTTGATCTACCACCATTTTAAATACACACCACCAAAAGCAAGGAAACCGGCCACTCGCTAACTGACAACAAGCCGAGGCACCCAGAACAAGGCAAGCAGGAGCTTCTTAACTAAGTCTCCCCTCCGATACAAAAGCCCCTTCAGTCTCTCTCTCCCTCCCCCTTCCCCCTATCTTTGAAATGCACAATAAAACTCAGCAAGGAACGGCGCCGGGGAGGGGGGAGGAAGAGAAAGACTTGCCCATTCCGGGGAACTTCGTCCCCCAAATCAGAGAGCGTCCCTCGGGCTGAACGCGACCAAACCGAACACCGGTTTGGGGAAAGGGTCGTGCTCCCCCTAGGCCCCCCCCCTCCATTCACGCGAAGCGAGTCTGACTTGTACTTACTGGAATATGCGGCTCCATGCGTGGTGCTTCTACCCGAGGGGAAACCAGAAGCATCTTGGACTGGCGACCCACCAGCTTTTTACATCCAGTTTGACCGTCTCGGACAAAACCCAGCAGCGCAAAGAGAAACGAGTGCTTTTTTAAAAAAAGGACAGAAAGATTCTACGTTTGTTTTCTCCCCTTCCCTCCCTCCCTCCCCCCGATCCTTTTAGGTTCCCGACAAGTTCATCCTGGCGTTGCAGTTTGCTAATGATTCACTGTCTGTCTCGATTCGCTCACTACATTTCCCTCAGCCCACAGTTTCCTCTCTTCGAAGGTGGAGTTTGTGGGCTTTAAGTTACTGATAGGGCATATCTAACTGCTGTGTCACTCGGAGAGGAGGAGACACGCTCGCTCGCTCTCCCGCACACACAGACTCTCTGCCAAACTCCAGCCTTAAAGGGGAAGGCGCACAGCCAGCCTTCCGCCGCCGAAACAAACCACGCGCTGCCCTTGTAACGTGGGAAGGGCAAATTTAACACGATTGCCGGGGGAGGGGGCAATGCTTAGTTTCACTTCGGATCTGACGTCTTCCCTTTTTTTTAACAAAAATGGAAATTGTTCTTGTGCTCTCAGAGCTCCCAGGCATATTTTTAAGGGGACACTTGTCCTATCAAACTTGTTTCCATGCCGAGAAAAGTTTCACTTGGACTTTATTGCCACAGCCGCGTGTCACTTGTTAAAGACACAGGGACAGGGAAATAAAACAAAAGACGGTAGCAAGCAATCCTTTGGCATCGCCGAGTGAACAATAACCGTGAACCGCCAGGACATGGAACGCTCCTAAAAATGCGAAGAATGCCGGATTGCTCCCCCTCAATGGCAGACTGTCAGTCGCTCGAGAGTTCATTCATTCGGCCGGGGCCACGCTACCCCCCCCCCCCCCCCCCCCCCCCCCCCCCCCCCCCGCCGCGCGCCCCCATGCAACGCATCCCAGACCCAACTTCACTTGCCGCCGCCTCCGGCCGCCTAGGTGAATCTAGGTTACTAACGAGACAGGGTAGTACACTGTGTCCCTTTTGCCTCCTGCGGTGCATGGATATTTATGCAGGCAGCTGCCAAAAAAACCCTGGATGTTTTTTATGGCTGCAATACATGCTTGTAACCGAGTGTGATTTCTGAATGGTAGGCTCGACGGAGCAGTCGCTGAGGCAGAGGAGGGGCTGGGCTGGATATTCAAATCGCCTCCTGGAACAGGCACAACTTTCCCCTGAATCGCAGGCTGGCGTCTGCGAAGGGAGAGAAAGGCGTTCGCTGAATGCGCCCTGAACATAACCTAATTCATTGCCTCCCCCAGGGCTTGTTAGTACTTTGCTTTCTTTCAGAGGAGCTCTCAGCTGACTTCACTGCTAAGGTTAGCATCTCGGTTCCTGGTAGGCAGTCTTCTGCCTTAGAACAGTTGCATAAAATGGCATCAAATCAACAGGCATTACTCTTTCCAGCACTACCTCTGAACGCTGGGGATAGCTGCCTCCGTTGAAAGTTGACCTGTTGCTGGTCAAATGCAGGAATCCTACAACTAGCCAATGAGCTTCAGGGCTTTGTTTTAACCCATAGCTCTTTCTGATTTAGAGACATCCTATATCTTCAAGTGAATGCCACTAGGCCAGGGTATCTATGACACTTTTAGGGCAACACCCATCTCCTCTGCTTGAGCTTCACTAGTGACATTTGAATCATAAGGAATAATAATTTAATCAGAATTAAACATTTTAATGCACTTTTTGCCATTTATATTGGCTAAACTAGACAATCTGTATGCAAGGGGTTGTTTTTTTTTTGCCATCAGGTTGCAACTGACATATGGTGACCCTGCAGGGTTTTCAAGGCAAGAGACGTTCAGAGGTGTTTTGCCATTGCCTACCTCTGCGTAGCAACCTTGGGCTTTCTTGGTGGTCTCCCATCCAAATACTAACCAGGGCTGACCCTGCTTAGCTTCCGAGATCTGATGAGATCCAGGCACAAATTGGGGATAAAAATGAAAAAACTCACAAAACAATAGAGGAACATTTGACTCTCTCTAGACATTCCATGCCAGACCTAATGGTCATCAGACCTTCAGCAGAAAAAAGTCAGAGGGAGACTCCATGAGAATTGCAAGGTTGGAATTCATATGCAGATGATACTTTGATGTTATCAGACTCAGGAGGGACTTGGGGTAGTTACATCACCACCAAAGGTAATTGTTCCTCTGTGTACTCTATTCAAATTCATCCTACTTTGTCATTTCATCAACAGCTGGAAAAGGTCCACACCCATTGTGAGTGAATAACTAACTCATTCTTTTGAATGGATCTCATTTCCATCAATATTGTGCAGTGTAATATAATCCTTTTAGTGTGGGCTTTCTCTCCCTTTCTCCAAGTAGCTCAAGAGTTCTCACCTGTGGGTGTTAACGTGCAGTCATGTTGCTTCTGACTTATGGTGACCCCATGAATTAAAAGCCATGAGCTAGGTGGCCCAGACTAGCCTGATCTCCTTGAATCTAGGAAGTTAAGCAGAGTTGACCTTTGTTAGTATTTGGATGGGAGACCACCAAGGAATTCCAGGGTCACTGTGCACTGTTAGTCTCTTTCCTTGGAAAATCCTATGGGGTCGCCATAAGTCAGCTGTAACTATGGCATTTTATGCATACATGAATTAAAGTCCTCCAGAACATCCTATTAACAGCTTTGCTCTTGCAAACTGAAACCTGTGGGTTCCTTTACAGAGACAGTCCATCTCATGGTAACCTTCCTGTTTTCCTAGGTAAAGGTAAAGGTTTCCCTTGCTCGAAAGCCAGTCGAATCCGACTCTAGAGATGCGGTGCTCATCTCTGTTTCCAAGCCAAAGAGCCAGCACTGTCCAAAGACATTTCTGTGGTCATGTGGCTGGCATGACTAAACACCGAGGCACACAGAATGCTGTTACCTTCCCACCGAAGTGGTACCTGTTTATCTACTTGCAATTTCTTGCTTTCGAACTGCTAAGTTGGCTGGAGCTGAGACTAGAGACGGGAGCTCACTCCGTCATGCAGCACTCGGGTCTCAAACTGCCGAACTACCGACCTTCAGGTTTTCCTACTGCCTTCAAATTTTCCTAGTGTTATTGTTTTTTCTAGTGAGTCTTGTCTATTCATGATGTGATCAGTTTAGTCATTTTAGTGTCTAGGGAGAATTCAGGATTGATTTGATTTAGAACCCACTTATTTGTCTTTTTGGTGATCCATGATATCCATAAAACTCTCCTCCAACACCACATTTCAAATGAATCCTGTCAACTTTCACATCCATGCATAGTTAATGTGGAATGCCATAGTATAAATTAGCTTGGTCTACAGTGACACTTCCTTACATTTACCCTGCTTCCCCGAAAGTAAGACATCCCCCGAAAATAAGACCTACTTACAGTTTTGCCTCTCACTGAAATATAAGGCATCCCCCCGAAAATAAGGCCTCCCCCGATAATAAGGCCTTCCCCGATAATAAGATAATAAGGCCCCCGAAGGTACCGTAAATCTGGACTCTGGGCCGTAGCGGCGGGCGCTGCCACGCAGCTCACTGTTGGCTGCTGCACAGCCGGAGCAGACAGGAAGTGCGAGGTCTCTTTTAATCAGAGAGCCTGCGCCACCGCCAGGACAAGCTGCCGCCTGCTGCTCGCTCTGCCCTGACAGAGTGTACCGTAGTCTTCTTCATGGAAAAATAAGACATCCCCTGAAAATAAGACCTAGCGCATCTTTGGGAGCAAAAATTAATATAAGACACTGTCTTATTTTTGGGGAAACAGGGTAAAGATCTTTTCTAGTTCTTTTATGGCTGCCCTCCCGAGTCACAATCTACTTCTGGTTCCTTGCTTGCACAGTCTCCTTTTTGGTTGATGACTGAGCAAAGAAATACAACCTACTTGGTTGTAAAACTCTATAGAACCACTCTTTTTTGTTTGTTTGTTTGTTTTATGTGTGTGTTTATGTGCTTGCAAGTCATGGTGACTTCTGGTGACCTCTAGTGGGGCTAGGACCTTTCTGAGAGGTGGTTTTAATATTACCTGCATCTGCGTCCCGGTCCTGGTATTCCTTGGAGGTCGCCCTTCCATGTACTTGTCAGGGTCGGTCCTGCTTAGCTTCTGAGATCTGACGAGATTTGTTGCTCTGAGGGGACAGGGTGTTTGTTCCTAGCACACACACCCTCACCGCGTCTATTTGCATTCACAATGAGAAGAGCAGCTGGACCTTTATCTGCTCAACAATCTTGTGAGGTAAAAGCAAGGCTGAGAGTCAGTAGCTCAAGGTTACCCAGCAAACGTCACAGCAGAGGAGGGCTTTGGAACCCAGGGGTTGGCTCCCATGGATGGAAGGTATTTCTGTCAGTTGAATATGACTTTCTGACTTCCTCCACCTGCTATGGCCCAAAATGCCTCCTGAAATGCTGCTCTTGAGGTCAAGGAATCTCCAGAAACAGCATCAGGGGGAAGATGAAGGTCTACAGCAGGAGGGGGACACTGGCAAAAATCACAGTGTCTTCTAACGGCAGAAATCCTTGCTGGGATCCAAGCCCAAGTCTTCCAGAGCCTAGCCTCTCTAACCACTGCACCACACTGCCACCACATGTAATACACCTTCTCTTAGGAAGCTGGGCCTTCAGGCCCAGTCTGGTGTAGTAGTTAAGTGTGCGGGCTCTAATCTGGGAGAACCGGGTTTGATTCCCCACTCCTCCACTTGCACCTGGCTGGATGACCTTGGGCAAGCCGTAGTTTTGATAAGAGCTGTTCTTGAAAAAGGGCAGTTTCTGTCAGAGCTCTCTCAGCCCCACCTACCTCACAGGGTGTCTGTTGTGGGAAGGGGAAGGGAAAGGAGTTTGTAAGCCACTCTGAGACGCCTTTGGGTAATGAAGGGCGGGGTATAATCCAATCTCTTGTTCCCTTCTTCTTCTTTTCTTTTTTGCAGTAGATCTACCCCTACTTTTCTATGGTTTGTAGCCCTGGGTATAAATCTCTCTGCTCACTGAATATAGGACATCATGCATCAAATAAAGTAAGCTTTGGCTCATGAAAGCGTATGCCATAATAAATGTATTAATCTGTAAGTATTACTTTTTAAGTTCAGGAATCCTATAAGCAGCAAGATGGCCAGAACTGCAACAAGAA